CATGACATTCCTTCCTGCTTCTCATGGTTAAGTGCTAAGCTGCTGATACATGAATCCTTTTTCATTTTTGCCTGGCAAGGATCAATCGGCATAGCTGACGCAACGCCAATTTATACTTGGAAATCTGATCGCTGCGCCGGGCCCGAAAACGGCTGGAATAGCTGCAGCCGCAAACTCCAATGGCAGTGACGGAACATAATCCAACTTGCTGACATCATTTTGTGGGGATTGGGTGAGGCTGGACATTCGTTATTTATTTATCGTGTCAGAAGAGAGTTGAGGGTACTGTTAAAATGCATTTAAAAACACAAAAAAGTTCTTGGCATGATACTAAATGTCCTCCGACCAGAAGCTGGCCACTTGGAGTGCCTCTGGTGTCGCTGTGAGAAGGTCCTCCATTGTGCAGGCGGCAGGGCTCCAACTACGTTGTCGTAAGTGGTCTGTGGTTTGCTCTCCTCCATACTCACATATCATGGAGTCCACTTTCTACCCACATTTCTTAAGGTTAGCTCTGCGTCTCGTGGTGCCAGAGTGCCTTCCAGGTCATCCACTCTTCTGTGTGCCCAGGAGGGAGTTTCTCATCCAGTCTCAGCCACTGATTGAGGTTCTGGGTTTTAGCCTGCCACTTTTGGACTCTTGCTTGCTGAGGTGTTCCTGCAAGTATCTCTGTAGATCTTGGGAAGCTGTTTCTTGATTTAAGGCATTGGCATGCTGGTTGATATCCGAACAGGGCATGGGCCGGAGATGTCAATGCCTTGGTCCTTTCATTACTGGCTGCTACTTCCCGACGGATGTCAGGTGGTGCGATACCAGCCAAACAATGTAATTTCTCCAGCTGTCTACGGCGTAGACATTCTGTGAGAATGTGGAATCTCATTAAGAGCCACATCCACTGTTTTAAAGTGGTGAGATGTATTCCACACTGGGCATGTGTATTCAGCAGCAGAGTAGCAAAGCGCAAGGGCAGATGCCTTCACTGTGTCTGGTTGTGAGCCCCAGGTTATGCCAGTCAGCTTTCATACGATATTATTTCTAGTACCCACTTTTTGCTTGATAGTCAAGCAGTGCTTCTTATAAGTCAGAGCACGATCCAGAGAGATTCCCAGGTATTTTGGTGTGCTGCAATGCTCCAGTGGGATTCCGTCTCAGGTAATTTTCAAAGCTTGAGATACTTGTCTGTTCTTAAGGTGAAAAGCACACATCTGCATTTTAGATAGATTAGGAATGAGCTGCTTTTCCCTGTAATAGGCAGTAAGGGCACCTAAAGCTTCAGAGAGCTTCTGTTCAACCATTTCAAAGCTCCCTGCTTGAGCGGTGATGGCACGATCGTCAACATAGATGAAACTCTCTGTCCCTTCTGGCAGTGGCTGATCATTTCTATAAATGCTAAATATTAGCAATCAGCTGGTTTTCCCTGTAATAGGTAGTAAGAGCACCTAAAGCTCCAGAGAGCTTCTGTTCAACCATTTCAAAGCTCCCTGCTTGGGTGGTGATAGTACAATCGTTAGCATAGATGAAACTCTCTGTCCCTTCTGGTAGTGGCTGATCATTTGTATACATGTTAAATATTACTGATCAGTTGGTTTTCCCTGTAATAGGCAATAAGGGCACCTAAAGCTTCAGAGAATTTCTGTTCAACTATTTCAAAGGGCCCTGCTTGAGCGGTGATGGCATGATCGTCAGCGTAGATGAAATTCTCTATCCCTTCTGGTTTTCCCTGTAATAGACAGTAAGAGCACCTAAAGCTTCAGAGATCTTCTGTTCAACCATTTCAAAGCTCCCTCCTTGAGCGGTGATGGCACTATCATCAGCACAGATGAAACTCTCTGTCCCTTCTGGCAGTGGCTGATCCTTTGTGTACATGTTAAACATTGATGGAGCAAGCACACTCCACTGAGGCAGGCCATTCTCCTGTTTTTGCCATCTGCTTCTCTGGACTTCGGAGATAGTGTTTGACACAAAGCCGCCTTATGTGCCATGCTCTAGTCTTTGGCCTCCCTACTTTGAAGTTTCAAAGACGTCCTTTTTTGGACTATGACTCTCTGAATTCCCCAGAGAGAAGTAGCAATTGGACAAGGGAATCCTGGAAGCTGTAGTTTGACTGCAAATCCCAAGATTCTGCCCCCTTGAGCCATGGGAACAAATGCAAACCGCATTTATTCCACAGTGCAGATGCTCCCTGGTTGCTGTCCAAAGCCGGGATGTGGGTCACCGGAAAGGTGATGGATGGGCCAAACGCGAGAGACGATGTGCTTTGCCTGCCTCCACTTTTTGCCGCGTCCCTTTGCTCTTTTAACCCACTCTGGTCTATGACTCGTGCCGTGGACCAACGACCGCACCAACACTTGAGCCGTGCCGTTTCTATGGCAGAGTTGCTGTATCCTTGGCAACACCCGACGCAAAAAAGAGCCAGGAGCAAAGAAGAAAGAATCTTAGGGAGCCAGCGTTGTGTACGTGCAGAAGAATCCACTTGCTTCCAACTTCAGCATCTTTTATCCCCCTCCTTGTGTGCCACATCTTTCACACACCGCATCCCATCAAAAATTCTTCACAACTGTGGACAACGAGTGGAGAGGGTAGGCCTGGTCTTCGAGAGCTCCCCTCTATCTTGTGGGGTTCCTCAGGAGGCCATTCTCTCCCTTCTGATGTTTAACATCTATATGCAACCACTTGCTCAGCTGGTTCGAGGTTTTGGGCTTGAGTGTTACAAGTACGCTGATGACACTCAGCTGGTGCTGAAGATGGAAGGCTGACCGGACTCTGTACCCGATTGTTTCCATCAGTGCCTCGAGGCTGTTACTGGATGGCTGCGTGCCAGCAGGTTGAGGGTGAATCCAGTAAAGACGGAGATCCTATGGCTGGGTTGACCGGGCAGTGGGGATATCCAGCTGCCTACCCTGGATGGCAAGGCGCTATGCCTGTCATCATTGGTAAAGAGTCTGGGAGTCCTTTTGGACCCTCTGCTGACGATGGAGGCCCAGGTCTACGCCGTTAGCAGAACCGCCTTCTTTCACCTGCGGCAGGCTAGACGGCTGGCCCCCTCCCTGTCCAGGGACGACCTAGCTACAGTGATCCAGGCCACGGTCATCTCAAGACTGGACTACTGTAACGCCCTCTACATTGGCCTTCCTCTGTCGGTGATCTGGAAGCTCAGGTTGTTACAAAATGCAGCTGCTCGGCTTCTTGCGGGAATTCCGATGAGATGCCACATAACCCCAATCTTACTACAGCTGCATTGGTTACCAATTGAGCACCGGATCACTTTCAAAGTGATGGTACTCACCTTTAAGGCCTTACATGGTCTGGGGCCGATGTACCCGAGGCACCGCCTCACCCCCTACCAACCCCAGAGATCCCTCCGTTCTGAGGACCAAGATTTATTGGAAATTCCCAATGTCAAGACCTTGCGTCTAACAGCAACTAGACGCAGAGCCTTTACAGCAGTGGCACCATCACTCTGGTATACTCTGCCACCTGAAGTACGTGCCTTGCGGGACCTATCAGCTTTCCGCAGGGCTTGTAAGACATACCTGTTTCGACAGGCCTTTGATCTTTGATACTGCTGTTTTTAAATTGTTTTAAATTGTTTTTGAATTGTGTTAGATTTTAGCCATTCTTGTAAGCCACTCTGAGCCCCAGGAGAGTGGCAGCATATAAATTTGAATAATAAATAAATAAATAAATAAATAAGCTACCAAAATCCACGATTTCATAATTGAGAAATGAGGGATCATTGAGTCCCAAGAGTTCCTCTCTTCGCAGAGGACGAAACATTCATCGAAATCAAATCAAAGCAGTCCCCCTAAATCGGTGTTTCTCAACCTTCATAATGCTGCGACCCCTTAACACAGCTCCTCGTGTTGTGGAACCGGAGCCTCCAATGGTGCAAAGGGTTAAACCCTTGTGCCGGTAGGACTGAAGACCAACAGGGCAAAGGTTCAAATCTGGGGAGAGCGTGGATGAGCCCCCTCTGTCAGCTCCCGCTCCCCATGTGGGGACAAGTGAGAATCCTCCCACAAAGATGGTAAAACATCAAAACATTTGACAAGTCGGAGGTTCGAATCCGGGAAGAGTGTGGATGAACTCCCTCTGTTAGCTTCAGCTCCCCATGCGGAGACATGTGAGAAGCCTGCCACAAGGATGGTAAAACATCAAAACCTCCAAATTTGAATCCTGGTGGGGCTGGGGTGGGGGATTGATTTTGTCATTTGGGAGTTGTAATTGCTGGGATTTATAGTTGACCTGCAATCCAAGAACATTCTGAACTCCACCAACAATGGAATTGAGCCAAACTTGGCACACAGAACTCCCACAACCAACAGAAAATACTGGAAGGATTTTATGGGCATTGATCTTGAGTTTTGGAGTTGTAGTTCACCCACATCCAAAGAGCACTGTGGACTCAAACAATAATGAATCTGGACCAAATTGAGCACGGATACTCAACATGGCCAAATGAGAACACTGGTGTAGTTTGGGGAAAATAGACCTTGACATTTGGGAGTTGTAGTTGCTGGGATTTATAGTTCACCTACAATCACAGAGCATTCAGAACCTTACTATGGATTGAATTGGGCCAAACATTCCATACAGAACCTCCATGACCAACAGAAAATACTGTCAGGCCATTATATGCTAATAAAGGTGGTCAGTTGAAACATTCTCACCTAGCTTCAGCAGACAAGAGTCCTTTGTCCCACCCTGGTCATTCCACAGATATATAAACCCTTTTTCCTAGTTCCAATAGACCTCACTACCTCTGACGATGCTTGCCATAAATGCAGGCGAAATGTCAGGAGAGAATGCCTCTAGACTATGGCCACATGGCCCGAAAAAAACCCACAACAACCCAGAAAACACTGTGCTTTCTGGTGGTTTTTGGTGACCCCTCTGACATCCCTTCATGACCCCCCCCCCCCCCCCCCCCCCAGTTGAGAAATGCTGAACTAAAGACGCTGTGAAACCATATCTTCCAGGAAAGAAGCATTCACAAATTGGGGTTATGGTTGTTTGATTTTTTAATTGTTTTGGTTGATCTGTACAAAGTTGTTGAAAAATATACAAATTGTACATTGTCCCCCCATCGGGTGCTGCGTGGGTTTCCCCCCAACCTTTCCCAACCAATTCTCCCCTTTCCCCCAAACATCACAGATAGTTTTAGACCAAATATTGACCCCCTAAGAGACAAAGTAACATCATATTACGAGAGGGAAAGAAATGTATCTTCAAGTAATTCGGCATCACGTTGCTGGGAAAAGAGCTTTATTTTCAAAACAAATTAGCCAAACACCCTTAAGGATGGAGCATTTGATCATGAGGCCCAAAGAGGATGTGAGCCATAGACATAGAAGGAGGAAATCACATGGGGAAGAGTTTTTTGGGGCACTATTTCAGGAAGAACAGGAAGTATCCAGCTGTTCTTGCTATTTTATCGCTGTGCTGAATATGGCCACTCAGCTTGACTACACATCTCTGTGTATGAGACATGACTGCTGCCCACTAGTAATCGGGAGTGGGAGAGTGAAAATCCACAAAGTAGGGATGTATATATATATTAGGCATGGTTAGGTCCAGCCGTTCAGCAGTGGAACTCTCTGCCCCAGAGTGTGGTGGAGGCTCCTTCTTTGGAAGCTTTTAAGCAGAGGCTGGATGGCCATCTGTCAGGGGTGATTTGAATGCAATATTCCTGCTTCTTGGCAGAATGGGGTTGGACTGGATGGTCCATGAGGTCTCTTCCAACTCTTTGATTCTATGATTCTATGATTCGGAAGTTTCAGAAAATTCTGACTTTTTTCCGGAAAATTCGGAAATCAATTCCGAACCAACTCATCAGCGCCTTTTTTTGGTAGCTATAAGGAAGGGGCTTTACGGCCATGATTTACATACTGCTTTGTATCTCCTCTCTCTATTTTTCGCCCGAGGGAGAGGGCGAAACCCCCTTCCACACTCCATCTTTGCCAGGAGACAAAAAATCACGAAACAGCGAGTCCACGAAAAGTGAACTGCGGTATGCGGCTTGCATCAGGAAGCCACAAATCTGCAGTCCTGACCATGAAACTGCAATGTCTGTGATGCAATGACATTGTGTGGCAAAGCCAAGGAACTGGCAGGAGTATAGCTATGACACTGTAACAGCACGGTGTGATAACCCTCCTGTGATATGTCATAAGCATTACATTGGCAAAACTATCAGACTTGTGTGCATGCGTCAGGAAGCCACAAATCTGCAATCCAGATCATGACACTGCAATGTCCGGGGTCAATGACGTTATGTGACAAAGCCAAGGACTGGCAGGAGTATAGCTATGACACTATAACAGCACGGTGTGATAACACTTCTATGATATGTCATAAGCATCATGTTGGTGAAACTATCAGAGACTTGTGCGCATGCATCAGGAAGCCACAAATCCGCAGTCCTGACCATGAAGCTGAAATGTCTGGGGTGCAATGACATTGTGTGACAAAGTCAAAGGACTGGCAGGAGTGTGGCTATGACACTAGAACGGCATAGTATGATAACACTTCTATGTTATGTCATAAGCATCACGTTGGTGAAACTATCAGAGACTTGTGCGCATGTGTCAGGAAGCCTCGAGTTGCCTTTGGGTTGAGAGAGGGGGTATATAAATATAGTAAATAAATAATAAATAAATAAGTAGCGAGGGAACACTGTATTACTTTGAAGAAGCGTAAGTCCCAGAACCCCCCACTGAGCAATGGCTAGTGGAGAGTTGAAGGAGTTATAGGCCTGAATCCAGTTGTGAATCCCAACCAAGGTTGGAAGAACTGGGTTTATCTATGTGTTGACTCGCCATTCAACATCGGTTCTGCTTGAGTTGGGACTGACCGGACACCAGCCAACATCTGCCTAACATCACAACATTGCAAAGCCTGGTGTGGATCTTCCAAGCTTCCCAACTCTTCCCAACATTGCAGGGTGGGCATTATTGGGGAGCAAAGGGAGCTACACGACGGAGCAAGGAGATGGTGAAGCTGTGGACATGGCAGAAGATTGGGCTCTACCAAGTCTACCAAGTGGTCAATCCCCTCCCTTCCCCATGGAGACCGTCTTCTGTGTCTCTCCCTTTGGGAACAACCACTATTATTAGCTTGTCCTCCATAGGGAGCGTTTGCCAAGTTGCTGTAATCTTGGCAATCTAGAGGATAGGGTTTAAGACTTGACTCACAATGGGCAATTCGCCAAGCCAACGAGGGCAAAGTGGACTACAGCTATCTATGGGATGAAGGACCACAAAGAAAAAGCTTGAGCAGACAGGAAATGAGCACCAAATATATCGGAGCAAAGAAGGAGGGAAAACCTATTTGACCAAACTTGACTTCCCAGAACAGAAGGATTTTGTGGGGTCAGAATGGGGTCACCGAGAGATGCTCAGGACAGGGTGGAGGGACACCTTTTGACGTCAATAGGATCAATATAAAAATACGTTCTCGTGAGGGTACGGTGGCACACGCCGCGTTGGTGCAAGGCCAGACACACTGTGGTGGCATCCACCTGCGTGGCATTCTGGGAAAAGAGGCGACGCAGGTAGGCCTCCCCGGGCAGGGTCTGCCTTTCGCAAAGAACGGGAGGCTCTAAACTCTAGTCGTCATCGTCGTCATCATCGTCGTCATCGTCGTCGTCGTCGTCGTCATCGTCGTCATCTTCAGTATTGATCTCTCCTGACAGCACATCCTCTATCCAGTCTTCGAGCTCCTCTGTGGTGGGGAGGTCATCTTCATCGTCCATCTCCAACCATATACTGTCGGCCTGTGGGACAAAGAACATCAGGAGGAGGAAGGTGAGGGAGTTATTGAATGGCTGTTGCGGTGACAAAGCAGTCATTAATGGATTATTTCCAGCAACAACAATAACAACACATTTTCAATGGTCCTGCAGCACAACAATGTCTGGGGTGCAAACACTGTGTGGCTTCAAGAAGCCACAAATCTGCAATCCTGAAGCTGTAGCACAACCATGTCTGAGGTGCAATGACCTTGTGTGACAAAGCCAAAGGACTGGCAGGAGTATAGCTAGGTGTGATAACTGTTAGTGTGTAATTCATGGATGATGTGTGTTTAAATGTAATTTTATGTGATAGGATTTTGATTGTAATAGAATTGTATTGCCAGGATGTAGTTTGACACAGAAGGGTTAAACAGCAAAGTAACAAGCTGTGAGAATGTGACCCTGAGAACTTGCTCTGTGAAAGATTAAGGAGTGCCAGGGATAAACTTCCTTCCAGCTGCAGTTTGTATTAGTTCCTACCTCTTTCGGTTTGTGTTCTTCACATCTGTCTGCTGATGGTGTATGTTGTCCTTATGAGATGGCATCAGCATTACATTAGCGAAACTATCAGAGACTTGTGCACATGTGTCAGGAAACCACGAATCTGCAATCCTGACCATGAAGTTGCAGCACAATGATGTCTGGGGTGCAATGACGGTGTGTGACAAAGCCAAGGGATTGGCAAGAGTATAGGCATGACACTATAACAGCATGGTGTGATAACACTCCTGTGATATGTCATAAGCATTACATTGGCAAAACTATCAGAAACTTGTGCGCATGCGTCGGGAAGCCACAAATCTGCAATCCTGACCATGAAGCTGCAATGTCTGGGGTGTAATGACATTGAGTGACAAAGCCAAGGGACTGGCAAGAGTATAGCTATGACGCTATAACAGCATGGTGTGATAACACTCCTATGAGAGGTCATCAGCATTACGTTGGCGAAACTATCAGAGACTTATGCACATGTGTCAGGAAGCCACAAATCTGCAGTCCTGAACGTGAATCTGCAATGTCTGGGGTACAATGACATTGTGTGACAAAGCCAAGGGACTGGCAAGAGTATAGGCATGACACTATAATAGCATGGTGTGATAACACTCCTGTGATATGTCATAAGCATTACATTGGCAAAACTATCAGAAACTTGTGCGCATGCGTCGGGAAGCCACAAATCTGCAATCCTGACCATGAAGCTGCAATGTCTGGGGTGTAATGACATTGAGTGTGACAAAGCCAAGATACTGGCAGGAGTATAGGTATGACACTATAACAGCATGGTGTAATAACATCCCTATGATAAGTCATAAGCATTACGTTGGCGGGATTATCAGGGACTTGTGCGCATGCGTCAGGAAGCCACAAATCTGCAAACCTAAACATGAAGCTGCAATGTGTGGGGTGCAATGAGGTTGAGTGACAAAACCAAGGGGCTGGCAGGAGTATAGCTATGACACTGTAACAGCATGGTGTGATAACAACCCTATGATATGTCATAAGTATTACATTGGCAAAACTATCAGAGACTTGTGCGCATGTGTCAGGAAGCCACAAATCTGCAGTCCTGACCATGAAGCTGCAATGTCTGGGGTGCAATGACGTTGTGTGACAAAGCAAAGGGACTGGCAAGAGTATAGGCATGACACTATAACAGCATGGTGTGAGAACATCCCTATGATATGTCATAAGCATTATGTTGGCAAAACTGTCAGAAATTTGTGCACCTGTGTCAGAAAGCCACAAATCTGCAATCCTGACCACGAAGCTGTAGCACAACAATGCCTGGGGTGCAACAACATTGTGTGACAAAGCCATGGGACTGGAAAGAGTATAGTATATGTAACAGCATGGTGTGATAACATCCCTATGATATGTCATAAGCATTATGTTGGCGAAACTCTCAGACTCTTGTGCGCATGTGTCAAGAAGCAACAAATCTGCAAACCTAACCATGAAGCTGCAATGTCTGGGGTGCAATGACGTTGTGTGACAAAGCCAAGGGACTGGCAAGAGTATAGCTATGACACTATAACAGCATGGTGTAATAACACCCCTATGATATGTCATAAGCATTACGTTGGTGAGAGTATCAGAGACTTGTACGCATGTATCAGGAAGTCACAAATCTGCAGTCCTGACTGTGAATCTGCAATGTCTGGGGTGCAATGAGATTGTGTGACATAATTAAAGGACTGGTAGGAGTATAAGTATGACACTATCATAGCATGGTGTGATAATACCCCTGGATCCCATCTCCAAGATATCTCATGATGAATGGACGAGGGTGGGTCAAAAAGTAATGCCTCCATGGCTCTAATGTTTCTTTCTTTCTCAGCTACTGGACTATCTCTGCATGATATGATAGAGGGAACCTTACTCTACTGATAAGAGTATTTTCTTGTTCCGATTGACTTATTAGAACCATGAATCTGAAGCTCAAAGAAAGACTCGTCATTGCATTTCTGGCCAAAGAAGGTTGAGCATCATCGTTTGAAGAATGGTTACGATTTGGCCCCTTCTGAATTGGACCTGTTTAGATCTCTGAAAGACAATGTACGTGGTTTCAGATTCAATTACTTGAAAGACTTGAATCATGAAGCAAAACCGCAATTTTTTCCAAAGCGGTTTGGATGCCTGGGTTGAACAATGGCGCAAATGTGTCCAAATTGATGGTGACTATATTGAACTGTACTTTTCTGTAGAGGACAGTTCAGGCTAGGATCTGGAGCAACTTCTGCTACTATATGTTCATTCATAATGTCTTTATGACACAGAAGGCAAAACATTTTGATTCATCTTCGTATATGGAAATTCAGATATTCCAAATTCTGAACCCAGCTAAAGGAGGGACTCAACACTCATACACACATATATAGGCACATACTTACATCTGTTACATTGACAATACCAATCTGAGGCCTGGACAAGTCAATGTCAAAAGTCTTCTCCCAGTAGGGGATCAGCTATGAAGGAGAGGAAGAAGAAGAGAAGAAAAGATGAGTGAGACCTAGGAAAAGACAAGCACAGACAGTCAAACAGACCCTTCTTTGGTTTTATCGGGGCAAGAACGAAAGGGGATAGGGATGTGTGATGCTGGCATGCATTGCTGTTGTGTGTTTTTAAGCCCTCTCCAATGTATGGGTTCATTAGCAAGATTTGCTCAGTTTTTTTGTTGTGTCAGAAGCCACTTAAGAAACTGCAAGTTGCTTCTGGTGAGAGAATTGGCCATCTGCAAGGATGTTGCCAGGGCATGCCTAGATGTTTTGCCATCCTTTGGGAGGCTTCTCTTGAATATCAAGCAAAAAGTGGGTGATAGGAATAACATCGTACCAAAGCAGACTGGCACAACCTGGGGTTCACAACTAGACACAGTGACAGCATCTGCCCTTGCGCTTTGCTACTCTGCTGCTGAATACGCATGCCCAGAGTGGAATACATCTCAGCATGTTAAAAGAGTGGATGTTGCTCTTAATGAGACATGCCACATTATCACAGGATATCTGTACCTTACACCACCGGAGAAATTATACAGTTTAGCCAGTATTGCACCACCTGACATCTGTCTGGAAGTTATTTTATTTTGTATCAAAAGCATTGCATAAATTAGTATAAAACTGATAAGAATAGAAGGCGGTCTAAATATCTTTTGACCCAAAACGGGCAACAGCAACAGCATTGTCTGTAGCCTCCAACAATTCTTCCTCTGTACATGAGGCAGGGCACAGTGGACAAGCATACAGATGCAGAGTTGTGTGTTCTGCTCCACAGTCACACAAGGTTTGGGATTCTTTTAGATAGTGCCATTTTGCCAGATTGTCTTTTGATCTGTCAACTCTGCTTCTGAGTCTATTCAGGGACTTGCAAGTTGCCCATTCTTGGTTTGCACCTGGAGGAAGACCCTCGCGGGGGTGCAATCCAGTCGGGAAGTAGCAGCCAGCAATGAAAAGACCAAGGCAGTGGCTTCTCTGGCCCATCCTCTGTCTGGATATCAGCCAGCATGCCGTAAATCAAGAAATGGCTTCCTAAGATCTACAGAGATACTCGCTGGAACACCTCAGCAAGCCGCATTATCATGGGGTATCTGCGCCCTACACCACTGGAGAAATTACACTGCTTAGCCGGTATCGCACCACCTGACATCCGCCGGGAAGTAGCAGCCAATAGTGAAAGGACCAATGCAGAGACATCTCCAGCTCATCCCTTGTTTGGGTATCAGCCAGCACGTCAACGACTTAAATCAAGAAATAGTTTTCTAAGATCTACAGAGACAATCGCTGGAACACCCCAGCAAGCGAGAGTCCAAAAGTGGCAGGCTCAAGCCCAGAACCTCAATCAATGGCTGATACCAATTGAGAGACTCCCCCCTGGGCACTCAGAAGACTGGGCGACTTGGAAGGCGCTGAACAGACTGCGCTCCAGCACCATGAGATGCAGAGCCAACCTTAAGAAATGGGGCCACAAAGTGGAATCAACAACATGCAAGTGTGGAGAAGAGCAAACCACTGACCACCTGCTGCAATGCACCCTGAGCCCTTCCACATGCACAATGGAGGACCTTCTTGTGGCAACACCAGAGGCATTGCAAGTGGCCAGTTTCTGGTCAAAGGACATTTAGTATAATGCTAACTTTGTGGTTTTTCTATATATTATAATTGTATTCTCAATTCGCTTCTGACAAGTGGCCAGATACTGGTCAAAGGACATTTAATCAACTACCAAGCTTGCAAATTCTGTGTTTTGCCTGTTTGTTTGTTTGTTTGTTTTGGTAAAAAATGTAATACAAATGTCTGGTTGCTGATGACACTATAAATAAATAAAACCTCAGCAAGCAAGAGTCCAAAAGTAGCAGGGTCAAACCCAGAACCTCAATCAGTGGCTGAGACCGGATGAGAAACTCCGTCTTGGGTGCACAGAAGACGGGGCAACTTGGAAGGTGCTGAACAGGCTGTGCTGTGGCACCATGAGATGCACAGCCAGTCTTCAGAAATGGGGTCCACGATATGTGAGAGCAGAGAAGAGCAAACCACAGACCACTGACTACAATGCAACCTGAGCCCTGCCACATGCGCAATTGAGGACCTTCTCACAGCGACACCAGAGGCTCTCCAAGTGGCCAGTTTCTGATCAAAAGACATTTAGTATAATGATAACTTTGTGGTTTTTCTATATATTATAACTGTATTCTCAATTCGCTTCTGACACGATAAATATCTCACGGAAACTCCAGCCATCTTGGCCAACTGTTAGGAAATCTGGGAATTTAGTCCCAAACATCTTGAGCAACAAAAGTTGGGAATTGTTGATTCAGAGGATATCAATTCAGTGAAACAAAAACTTTCCCCAACTTCTTGCATCCATCCCATCTAAAAAGCCCAGTTGCCTGTTCACCAGTGGGAACTCCTCCGGATCGACCCAAATGATGCTGAGGTCTGGATTGTCCGTGTTGTCTTGGGCCACGTCCTTCAAGATCTCCAGGAACTCATAACCATCTGCAGCCAGAGAGGAGACATAGGAAGAGGGCATGAGAGTGGGCAAGGCTCCGTTCAGTCCATACTAACAGCCTGGGGTTGCTTTCATTTCGGATACTGCCTGGCGAACTTTTATGACTCCCCAAATCAGAATGGTTGTTTATCAATCAACTCCTAAATCAGCGTTTCTCAACCTGGAGGACGAGACCCCGGGGGGGGGGGGGGTCGCCAGGGGGTGTCAGAGGGGTCACCAAAGACCATCAAAAAGCACAGTATTTTCTGTTGGTCATGCGGGTTCTGTATGGGAAGTTTGGCCCAATTCCATCATTGGTGGAATTCAGAATGCTATTTGATTGTAAAGTGAACTATAAATCCCAGTAACTGCAACTCCCAAATGCCAAAGTCTATTTCCCCCAAACTCCACCAGTGTTTACATTAGGGCATATTTAGTATCCATGGCAAGTTTGGTCCAGATCCATCATTGTTTGAGTCCACAGTGCTCTCTGGATGTAAGTGAACTACAATTTCTAAACTCAAGGGCAATTCCCATGAAATCCTTCCAGTATTTTCTGCTGGTCATGGGAGTTCTGTGTGCCAAGTTTGGTTCAATTCCATCGTTAGTGGAGTTAAGAATACTCTTTGATTGTAGGTGAACTAAAAATCCCAACAACTACAACTCCCAAATGCCATAGTCTATTTTCCCCAAACTCCACCAGTGTTCACATTTGGGCATATTTGTGCCAAATCTGGTCCAGATCCATCATTGTTTGAGTCCACAGTGCTCTCTGGATGTTCAAGGTCAATGCCCACCAAACCCTTCTAGTGTTTTCTGTTGGTCATGGGAGTTCTGTGTGCCAAGTTTGGTTCATTTCCATCATTGGTGGAGTTCAGAATGCTCTTTGGTTGTAGGTGAGTTCTTTCTCCTACCCTGGACATTCCACAGAGCCGTTCAGCAGTGGAACTCTCTGCCCCAGAGTGTGGTGGAGGCTCCTTCTTTGGAAGCTTTTAAACAGAGGCTGGATGGTCATCTGTCAGGGGTGATTTGAATGCAATATTCCTGCTTCTTGGCAGGGGGTTGGACTGGATGGCCCATGAGGTCTCTTCCAACTCGTTGATTCTATGATTCTATATATAAACCCACCACAGCCATCCTCAAAGGTTGTGAGGTCTGTTGGAAACTAGGCAAGTGGGGTTTATATATCTGTGGAATAATGTCCAGGGTGGGAGAAAGAACTCTTGTCTGTTGGAGGCAAGTGTGACTGTCGCAATTGGCCATCTTCATTAGCACTGAATGGCCATGCAGCTTCAAAGCCTGGCTGCTTCCTGCCTGGGAGACTAAAAAAAATAGGGGAATTCTAGACAAGAAACAATCAGGGCCAGCTAACAACTCCCAACAAAGGATTCCCCCAGGCTGTTGTATTGGATCACATGTCGGACACTTCCCAATAATAATATAATTATAATTATGAAATAATTATTATTACTATATAATAGTATAATTATTATATAATTCTATTATAATAATATAATTACATAATAATAATAATAATAATAATAATAATAATAATCTATATAAATAAAAATGTAATGTTCGTTTGTGGGATTCACATAACTCAAAAACCACTGGACGAATTGACACCAAATTTGGACACAATATACATATAATAATAATAATAATAATAATAATAATAATAATAATAATAATACTTTATTTATACCCCGCTCCATCTCCCCCAGGGGACCCGGAGCGGCTTACATGAGGCCACACCCATCAGTACAATACACACGATATAACACAAAAGCATAACAAAACCAGAAAATAAAATACATAAAATGGAAAAGTAATATAATATCAGGCCAACAAGCGACCATCACTCATAAAAACACTGAAAAACACAGCAAAAAACACCCCAACAAAAATACATTACACCGCATGCGCAAAACCACATACACACATATACGCAAACACACATATACACAGATATATACACACATGAAACACATATACACAGATTGGGCCACAACAACGCATGGCAGGGGATGGCTAGTTATTATAATTATATAATTATATTATTATTACTAGCCGTCCCCTGCCACGCATTGCTGTGGCCCAAATGGGGGTTCTGTGTGGGAGGTTTGGCCCAATTCTATCGTTGGTGGGGTTCAGAATGCTCTGTGATTGTAGGTGAACTATAAATCCCAACAACTACAACTCGCAAATGTCAAGATTCTATTTTCCCCAAACTCCATCAGTGTTCACATTTGGGCATATTGAGTATTTGTGCCAACTTTGGTCCAGATCCATCATTGTTTGAGTCCACAGTGCTCTCTGGATGTAGGTGAACTACAACTCCAGAACTCATAGTGCTCTCTGGATGTAGGTGAACTACAACTCCCAAACTCAAGGTCAATGCCCACCAAACCCAGTATTTTCTGTTGGTCAAGGGAATCCTGTATGCCATGTTTGGTTCAATGCCATGATTGATGGAGTTCAGAATGCTCTTTGATGGGAGGTGAACTATAAATCCCAGCAACTACAACTCCCAAATGTCAATATTCTATTTTTCCCAAACTCCATCAGAGTTCACATTTGGGCATATTGAGTATTTGTACCAACTTTGGTCCAGATCCATCATTGTTTGAGTCCATAGTGCTCTCTGGATGTAGGTGAACTACAACTCCCAAACTCAAGGTCAATGCCCACCAAACCCTTCCAGTATTTTCTGTTGGTCAAGGGAATCCTGTATGCCATGTTTGGTTCAATGCCATGATTGATGGAGTTCAGAATGCTCTTTAGGGGAACTATAAATCCCAACAAATACAACTCCCAAATGACAAAATCATAATTTTTTGAGTGATGGCCACTCCTTGTATTGTAAGACGTTTTGTTGCCAAATTTGGTGTGATTTCGTTCATTGGTTCTTTTGTTTTTAAGGTACTCATTATGCACAGAGCATTTATATATATATAGATTATAATTATAAATATTATTATAATTATATTATTATAATATTTTATTATAAATATTGATAAAAACATAAATCATCTGGGTGTCCCCTGGGCAACGTCCTTGCAGACGGCCAATTCTCTCACACCAAAAGCAACTTGCAGTTTCTCAAGTCGCTCCTGACACGACAAAAAAAAAATTATGTTAATATATAAATTATTATTACTATTGTTCTTATTATCATCATAACATTCCTTTGACTAGGACTTGTGTGCAATTCAAAGCAGCACTCTGGAGCCTATATAAAAACAGATGGGAGATTTCCTCATTTGCTCTCCTAAGCTCCTCCGCGAGCAAACTTCCAGCCTGCGGCAATTTCCTTCTGCCTTGTTGAACGTTGTTGCCTCCGTAAGCTGAACAAGCTAAACTTTGGCATTTGGGGAGAACATAGCAGGCATTTGGGGAGAATATAGCAGACCTGCCTTCTTAAAGAAACCTTGCACTTTGCTTTTTTCTTGCCACGTGATCCTGTTTTTCTGAGACAACACAAACAGGACACGGTGGAAAAAAACTGGAATGCTATAGGCAAATCACAATGGAGATATTATCATCCAGTGCAGTGGAATGAGGTCCGGCACTTGGTGCTGCCGGTTGCAAGATAGGCGATTATCCTGTTTTGTTCTCTGGACCGTGGATTTTGTTTCATTTTTTGTTCATGGCTCAGCATATTTATTCTGGTCTATCTTGGCATGCTCTTTCCTGACGTAAGGTTGAACCATTGGATTTTGTGTTGTCGCTACATTCACATTACAACAGCAAAACAACAGAGAGTAAACAATCAGGCACATCAAATCACTCTCAACAAAAGATTCCCCCCAAGCACTTCCAAGCCATTAAATGCTAATCAAGGTGGTCAGTTGAAACATTCACACCAAGCTCCAGCAGACAAGAGTCCTTTGTCCCACCCTGGTCATTCCACAGATATATAAACCCATTTTCCTACTTCCAACAGACCTCACTACCTCTGAGGATGCTTGCCATAGATGCAGGCGAAACGTCAGGAGAAAATGCCTCTAGAACATGGCCACATAGCCCAGAAAAACCTACAACAACCCATTCACATTCTCCTCTTGGCTATTGGCCGGACTGACTTACCGGGGTCATCTTCCTCTGCAAAAGCAACAATGTGAATCCCATCGATGTCGTCTTCCTGCAGGAATCAACACACAAGCAAGCAAACATGAGTCACTATTGGCCTCTTCCATAGAATTCTAGAGTTGGAAGAGACCTCGTGGGTCATCCAGTCCAACCCCATTCTGCCAAGAAGCAGGAATATTGCATTCAAAGCACCCCCGACAGATGGCCATCCAGCCTCTGTTTAAAAGCCTCCAAAGAAGGAGCCTCCACCACACTCTGCGGCAGAGAGTTCCACTGCTGAACGACTCTCACAGTCAGGAAGTTCTTAGAATCATAGAATCATAGAATCTAAGAGTTGGAAGAGACCTCATAGGCCATCCAGTTCAACCCCATTCTGCCAAGAAGCTGGAATATTGCATTTAAATCACCCCTGACAGATGGCCATCCAGCCTCTGCTTAAAAGCCTCCAAAGAAGGAGCCTCCACCACACTCCGGGGCAGTCATAGGTATCATAGGTTTTCTTTGTAAGGCTTATTCAGAGAAGGTTTGCATTTGCTTTCCTGATTGTGAGAGATGTTCAGCAGTGGAACTCTCTGCCTCAGAGTGTGGTGGAAGTTCCTCCCTTGGAGGCTTTTTTGGATGGCCATCTGTTGGGGGTGCTTTGATTGTGCTTTTCCTGCACAGCAGGGCATTGGACTAGATCAGTAGTTCCCGATCTTTTTCTAACCAGGGACCATAGGTTTTCTTTGTAAGGCTTATTCAGAGAAGGTTTGCATTTGCTTTCCTGACCATGAGAGATGTTCAACAGTGGAACTCTCTGCCTCAGAGTGTGATCGAAGGTCCTTCCTTGGTGGCTTGTAAACAGAGGCTGGATGGCCATCTGTTGGGGTTGCTTTGATGGTGCTTTTCCTGCATGGCAGGGGGTCGGACTAGATGACCTTTGGGGTCTCTTCCAACTCTATGATTCTATGAGGTTTTCCCAAGGTCAACCAATGGATTTCCTAGGCTGACACGAAACTCTAACTCATAATCCAACACTCAAACTACATTATGCTGACTTCCCTTTTCTGTTGCATACTGTACTTCATGCTCCTTCCTTGGAAGCATTTAAACAGAGTCTGGATGGCCATCTGCCAGGGGTGCTTTGATTGTGCTTTTCCTGCATGGCAAGGGGTTGGACTAAATTGCCCATGTGGTATCTTCCAACTCTATGATCCTATGATTCATGCTTTGGGGTTGGCTCTATAAAAGTATCCTGCCAAGAAGCAGGAATTATAGCATTTCGGCACCACTTTAGCTGCCATGTCTCCATCCTATAGATCTTGGGATTTGTAGTTTGTTGTGACAAAGAGAGATCAATATATCCTACAAAGCTACAAGTCCTCAATTTTCATGGCATTGAGCCAAGGCAGTTAATTCAGCCCTAGAGAAAGAATACAATGCAAAGAAAATAACGAACATAGAGGGTCCCATTAGACCGGACATGGGCAAACTTTGGCCCTCCAGGTGTTTTGGACTCCAAACTGGATGTTGTTGTGTTTTGCTGCCTGGCAAACATGGGTACCCTTGAATATATGTTTTTCTTCTTTAAGCCGCTCCTCATAGGGCTTGTTCTCCAGACCCTTGATCATTTTAGTCGCCCTTTCCCATTCTATTGCAATGCATCCTAACTGTAATTAAGCCCCAAATTCACAGTCAAAGGACTGAGTTTTAGGGACTCTTGGATGGAGGAATCCAAGCTATTTTATGTCTCCATCATCCTGGGAAAACGGATTCAGACCCCATCCTTCCCTTGAACGTACCCAGGTTTCATACATGCTGTCTGGCTGGAGTTTCCTCAGTGTTGGCCTGCAAGAAATGGACAGAGAAAGACGTTTAGTATGGCAGGATATACTAATCGGATGGCCATCTTAAGATAAAGGCAAAGGTTTCCCCTTGAAATGAAGTCTAGTTGAGTCCAACACTGAGGGGTGGTGCGCATCTCCATTTCTAAGCCAAAGAGCCGGCGTTGTCCGTAGACATCTCCAAGGTCATGTGGCCGGCATGACTGCATGGAGCGACATTACCTTCCCACTGGAGTGGTACCTATTGATATATTCAAACCCAGACCCGGGGGCCAGATGCTCTTTTCTCAGGCCCTCCTTTCTCACAATCCTATCTTTCCTTCTCTCTTTGCTTCCTTCTTCCTTCCCTCTCTCTTTCTCCTTCCCTCCCACCCTTTCGTCCTTCCTTCCTCCTTCCCTCCCTCCCTCACCTCCCCTTTTCTCTCACCCTCCTCTCTTCCCTTCCACCCTTTCGTCCTTCCTTCCTTCCCTCTCTCTCTGCAATCCTATCTTTCCTTCTCTCTTTGCTTCCTTCTTCCTTCCCTCTCTCTTTCTCCTTCCCTCCCACCCTTTCGTCCTTCCTTCCTCCTTCCCTCCCTCCCTCACCTCCCCTTTTCTCTCACCCTCCTCTCTTCCCTTCCACCCTTTCGTCCTTCCTTCCTTCCCTCTCTCTCTTTTTCTCCTTCCTTCCTTCCTTTTGTCTTTCCTTCCATCTCTCTTCCCTCCCTCCATTCCCTTCCACCCATTCGTCCTTCCTTACTTCCTTCTCTCTTCTTCCTTCCCTCACCCTTTCTCCTTCCCCCTTCCTTCCCTTTTGTCTTCCTTCTTTCCCTCTTTCCTTCCTTCCTCCTTCCCTCCCTCCCATCCATCCATCCATCCCTTCCACCCTTTCATCCTTCCTTCCTTCCCTTTTGTGTTTCCTTCCTTCCTCCTTCCCTCCCATCCATCCATCCATCCATCCCTTCCACCCTTTCATCCTTCCATCCTTCCTTCCTTCCCTTTTGTGCTTCCTTCTTTTCCCTCTTTCCTTCCTTCCTCCTTCCCTCCCTCCCATCCATCCATCCCTTCCATTCTTTAATCCTTCCAACCTTCCTTCCTTCCCTTTTGTGTTTCCTTCCTTCCCTTTTTCCTCCCTCCTTCCCTCTCTCTTCTCCTTCCATTCTTCTCTTCCTCCCTTTCTTCATTTCTTCTCTTTTCCTTCCTCCTTCCTTTCTTCCATCCTTCTCTTCCATCCTTTCATCCTTCCTTCTTTCCCACCCTTTTGTCCTTCCTTCCTTCTCTCCTTTTTCCTCCTCCATCCTTCCCTTCTTTCCTTCCTTCCATCCATCCATCCATCCATCCATCCATCCCTCCTTTCATCCTACCCTTCCACCTTTTCGACCTTCCTTCCCTTCTCTCATTCTTTCTTCCTTACCTCCCTTCTGCCCTTCTTTACCTCCCTCTTTCTCCTTCCATCCTTCCCTTTTGACCTTCCTTCCTTCCTTCCTTCCTTCCTTCCTTCCTTCCTCCTTCCTTCCTTCCTTCCTTCCTTCCTTCCTTCCTTCCTTCCCTTCTCTCATTCCTTCCTCCTTTCTCCCTTCCCCTTCTTTCCTCCCTCCTTTCTCCTTCTCCTCCTTCCCTTTTCCCTTCTTCTCTCTTTTTCCCTCCTTCCTTCCTTCCTTCCTTCCTTCCTTCCTTCCTTCCTTCCTTCCTTCCTTCCTTCCTTCCTCCATCCTTCCTTCCTTCCTTCCTTCATTCCTTTCTTTCCTCTTTTTCTTGTTTCCTTCCTTCCTTCCTTCCCTTCTCTTTCTTTCCTCCTTACCCCCCTTTTGCCCTTCTTTACCTCCGTCCTTCTCTTCCTCCCTTTCCTCCTTCCTTCCTTCTCTCTTTCCTCCCTTCCACCCTTTTGTTCTTCCTTCCCTTTGGTCTTTCCTTCCTCCTTCCTCCCTTCTCTCCCTCCCTTTTTCTCTTTCCATCTTTCCCTTCCTCCCTTTCATCCTTCCTTCCTTCCTTCTATCCATCACCAGGCAGCCAGTCCTCCTGGCAGGGAGTGCTAGCATGCGGCACCCAGGTTAGAAAGTTTGCCCAGGCCTGGTTTCGACTGTATGACAATAGAGGATTGGATAGGATGGCCCTTGCGGTCTCTTCCAACTCGATGAGCCTATGATTCTTATGGGATGCCTTGTTGATTTCCTACAAGGGTGTGGACTAGATGATCTCGAGAACCCCTTTCCGCACCACAATTCTTTGGTGGAGAGTGACTAGGAAGAAGCGGCATCGGCAGCAGATCAACAAGGCCAGCGACTTTCAAAGCATGTGGCTTTTAAGCCCATTAACTCCTAAGCAATGTGACCTTGAACGTTTCCAAGGTAGCTGGATCGGGAAGGCAGAGAACGAGATGGAGAGAGATGGAGAAATGAGCTTTTTTGTTGCATCTGCCTTGGAAATCTCAGGATGTGGGGGGGGGGGTTGTTTTGCACAAATATGGGAGGATGTGTGTGGGTGTTGGTGTGTGTAGGTGTGGGTCAAAGCCAGAGCAGGAAAGAAGAGGAGGAGGAGGAGGAGGAGGCATGGGAGAGGAAAGGGGGAAATAGAAGAGAGACTGTCGCTTTGCAAAAGGCAAGCAGCCTAATCCCAGTCCTCTTGCCAACCGAGTGCCAGGCAAAAAAATATAAAGGGGGGGGGGGCAAAGGAAGAGCGGCTGCCATGGCAACCAAAGCCCCTGATCTGCCAAATCTTCGTTAGTGCGGCTGGGTGGAGAAGCCAAGGAGGCCGGGAACCAGAGTGGCATGAAAGCCATCTGATAATAAGGGCCGCGTTGAGGATGCCATTTGTGCAAATTAGAAAAGACAAAGGAAGCGTGTGTTGGATCTGCCACTGTTATGAATTGTAATGTAAATATTCAATATGCAGGATGTATTTTCATTCACTGGACCAAATTTGGCACAAATATTCAATATACCCACATTTGAGTACTGGTGGGCTTGGGGAGGATTGATTTTGTCATTTGGGAGTTGTAGTTGCTGGGATTTATAGTTCACCTACAATCAAAGAGCATTCTGAACTCCACCAATGATGGAATTGAACCAAACTTGGCACACAGAACTCCCATGACCAACAGAAAATACTGGAAGGGTTTGATGGGCATTGACCTTGAGTTTTGGAGTTGTAGTTCACCTCCATCCAGAGAGAGCACTGTGGACTCAAACAATGATGGATCTGGACCAAACTTGGCATGAATACTCAACATGTCCAAATGTGAAAACGGGTAGAGTTTGGGGAAAATAGACCTTGCTTACTTTGCGTAATGGGTTGAGCCGTCCCTGATTTGGACCAAACTTGGCACAAATACCCAATATGCCCAAATGTAAACACTGGTGGAGTTTGGAGGAAAATAGACCTTGACATATGCGAGTTGTAGTTACTGGGATGTATAGTTCACCTACAATCAGAGAGCATTCTGAACTCCACCAACGATGGAATTGAACCAAACTTGGCCACAGAACCAACAGAAAATATTGGAAGGGTTTGGTGGGCATTGACCTTGAGTTCTGGAGATGTAGTTCACCTACATCCAGAGAGCACTATGGACTCAAACAATGATGGATTTGGAGTCCCAGAGGCGACCCTAGGTAATTTTCAATGGTAAGCAAACAGTATTTTTTTGGCACCCCCCACCCCCCAACCAATCACTAGTATATATTTTCTGTTCATTGTGGAAATGTAGGTGAAATACAACTCCAGAACTCAAGGTCAATGCTCACCAAACCCTTCCGGTATTTTCTGTTGGTCATGGGAGTTCTGTGTGCCAATTTGGTTCAATTCCATCGTTGGTGGAGTTCAGAATGCTCTTTGATTGTAGGTGAACTATACATCCCAGTAACTACAACTCGCCTATGTCAAGGTCTATTTTCCCCCAAGAGCGCCTCAAGAGCGCCCCTGGGCAAAATCAACTATACTGCAAATGCTTACTTTGCGTAATGGGTTGAGCCGCCCCTGTTGACAACTGCTTGACAACTGATGCCAATTTGCCCAGGGACGCTCTTGAGGCGCTCTTGGGGGAAATAGATCTTGACATATGCGAGTTGTAGTTACTGGGATGTATAGTTCACCTACAATCAAAGAGCATTCTGAACTCCATCAACGATGGAATTGAACCAAACTTGGCTCACACAACTCCCTTGACCAACAGAAAATACTGGAACGGTTTGATGGGCATTGACCTTGAGTCTGGGAGTTGTAGTTCACCTACATCCAGAGAGCACTTTGGACTCAAACAATGATGGATTTGGACCAAACTTGGCACAAATACCCAATATGCCCAAATGTAAACACTGGTGGAGTTTGGGGGGAAATAGACCTTGACATATGCAAGTTGTAGTTACTGGGATATAGTTCACCTACAATCAAAGAGCATTCTGAACTCCACCAATGATGGAATTGAACCAAACTTGGCACAAATACCCAATATGCCCAAATGTAAACACTGGTGGAGTTTGGGGGGAAATAGACCTTGACATATGCAAGTTGTAGTTACTGGGATGTATAGTTCACCTACAATCAAAGAGCATTCTGAACTCCACCAATGATGGAGTAGAACCAAACTTGGCACACAGAACCAACAGAAAATATTAGAAGGGTTTGGTGGGCATTGACCTTGAGTTTTGGAGTTGTAGTTCACCTACATCCAGAGAGCACTATAGACTCAAACCATGATGTATTTGGACCAGAGGTGGCCCTAGGTAATTTTCAATGGTAAGCAAACACTATTTTGGTGCTCCCCCCCCCCCCCCGCAACCAATCACTGATATATATTTTCTGTTCGTCGTGGGAGTTCTGTGTGCCATATTTGGTTCAATTCCATCATTGGTGGAGTTCAGAATGCTCTTTGATTGTAAGTGAACTATACATCCCAGTAACTACAACTCGCATATGTCAAGGCACAAATACCCAATATGCCCAAATGTAAACACTGGTGTAAACACAGCAACCTAGTCATACTGGCCATGAAAGCTTCCGACAACACATCCTTGTTTTTCCCTTCCTTTATTAGCCTGAGACCTCTTGGGGAAAGGAAGACAGATTTAGAAAGCTTCCCGTTAATCCTGATTAGATTCAACCCTCGGAGAAGCATCCGGACTGAACTGGGTCCAAGGGTTGCATTGTCACTATCCATAAAATACAGGAAAATTGGGGCAAAGGGTTAATTACTTAGTAGTAATATGATGATGATGATGGTGATAATAATAATAGTTATTATTATTATTATTATTATTATTATTATTATTATTATTATTATTTGAAACACAACAAGATGAGTTCACAGCAGACAAGATCACTCTGCTGGTTGTTGTATTGAATCACACGTCACACACTTCCCAAGTGTCTAGGATTGTGTGATGTGTCGCCAAATAATGCGTGCAGATGCCAGCAAAGTGGCCTTCTGCAGCTGGCAGATTGTAATTTAGCGCCAATTGTGTTTAAGTGCAAGCCAAGGTCTTGAGGCACTGCACCCAGTGTGCCGATCACCGCTGGGACCACCTTGACTGGCTTGTGCCAGAGTCTTTGCAGTTCAATCTTTAAATCCTCATATCGTGTCAGCGTTTCCAATTGTTTTTAAGTGCAGGCCAAGGTCTTTAGGCACTGCACCCAGTGTGCCAATCACTGCTGGGACCCCCTTGACTGGCTTGTGCCAGAGTCTTTGCAGTTCAGTCTTTAAGTCATCATATCGTGTCAGCTTTTCCAATTGTTTTTAAGTGCAGGCCAAGGTCTTTAGGCACTGCACCCAGTGTGCCAATCACCGCTGGGACCACCTTTACTGGCTTGTGCCAGAGTTTTTGCAGTTCAATCTTTAAATTCTCATATTGTGTCAGCTTTTCCAGTTGTTTCTCCTCAATCCTGCTGTCACCTGGGATTGCAGGATTGAAGAGAAACAACTAGAAAAGCTGACACAATATGATGATCTATTATTATTATTATTATTATTATTATTACATCCAAGGCAGGTGGGTGAAAAATTGGGTTGAGTGTGGACTAGAGGGCCATTTAAGCAGATGATTGATATATTGTCAAAGGTTTTCATGGCCGGAATCACTGGGTTATTGTAGGTTTTTCCGGGCTATATGGCCATGTTCTAGAGGCATTTTCTCCTGACGTTTCGCCTGCATCTATGGCAAGCATCCTCAGAGATAGTGAGGTCTGTTGGAACTAGGAAAATGGGTTTATATATCTGTGGAATGACCAGGGTGGGACAAAGGACTCTTGTCTGCTGGAGCTTGGTGTGAATGTTTCAACTGACCACCTTAAGTAGCATTTGATGGCTTGGCAGTGCCTGGGGGAATCTTTTGTTGAGAGGTGATTAGATGTGCCTGATTGTTTACTCTCCAGCAGACAAGAGTCCATTAATGTTAATAGCAATAATAATAAATAATAATTAATATTTATATAGATAATCATTATTATCTATATAAATCATTATTTATATAGATAATAATAATAATAATAATAATAATAATAATAATAATAAATACCCTAAAGAGGCCATTTGTTTTCCCTGCCATTGCAGAGCATTTGTTTTTAAAGAGCATGGTTGGTTGTCGAGTGGAAGAAGAAATGTGACGAATGGTTTTTGACGGCTGGTTGGGTACCAGCTAATACCAGACGCATGGCTTTGGGGGCCGGTGGAGAGGGACAAACAGATTGGCTGCCGCAAAGCCATTTCTTGAAACAACAACAACAACAACAACAACACACATTACACAGTAAGGCCGAAGCATCTGGATATATCAATGTTATGGTTATGCATATGTTTCCGGGCACATAAACAGGAGTGTGCGTTTGGGAATAAAACAAGCCCTGACATATCTGGGAATCCGCATCTCCCGCTACGCAAGACCCTCACCTCTTATGTTCTTCCATGAACTGGAGAATTTCCTCCTCGCTGTTTGGTTTGTCTGGGATGGTGATGGGCTCCTCCATGAATGGCTCATAGTAGTCAATCTCGTTCAGCTTGAGGGAGAGTTTCTTTGCAACCTGGAGTGACAAAAACATGCCCAGCTCTTTAAGCCGCTCCTCATAGGGTTTGTTCTCCAGGCCCTTTTTGGGGTGGAGTGAGGTGTGGCTTTTGGGGTCTACCCATCTAACCTTGAACTTGGGTTCCATAAAACCAATCACTCCAAACTTCAGACACCTGTGTGCATTGGAGTGTTTCCGACTCAAGTCAGAATTCTGTCCTGAGTTCGAATCCCGCATCGCAAGTATTTTTGGCCACTTACCTTGCTGTCAAAGGTGGCAAAGAAGGGGATGTAAGGATGGAACTCCTCGGCGGCATCAATGTAGGCCTTGTAATCTGGAAAGTTAAAATCAGATGATTAACATATTTGGCACTTACATTATATTATAATAACATTATTATATTATATTACAATAACATTGGGAGCCCCCGGTGGCGCAGTGGGTTAAACCCCAGTGCCGGCAGGACTGAAGCCGCAGGTTCGAATCTGGGGAGAGGCGGATGAGCTCCCTCTATCAGCTCCAGCTCCTCATGCGGGGACATGAGAAAAGCCTCCCACAAGGATGATAAAAACATCAAATCATCCAGGCGTCCCCTGGGCAATGTCCTTGCAGACGGCCAATTCTCTCACACCAGAAGCGATTTGCAGTTTCTCAAGTCGCTCCTGACACAACAAAATAATAATAATAATAATAATAATAATAATAATAATAATAATAACATTATATATTACTAGCCGTCAACTGCCACGTGTTGCTGTGGCCCAGTCTGTGTATATGTGTTTTGTGTGTGTATATGTGTGTGTGTATATATATTTGTATATATGTGTATATGTGTGTTTGTGTATATATGTGTGTGTGTGTGTGGTTTTGCACATGTGTTGTAATGTTGTGTATATATATTTGTATATATGTGTACATATGTATGTTTGTGTGTATATATGTGTGTGTGCGGTTTTGCACATGTGTTGTAATGTTGTGTGTATATATATTTGTATATATGTGTACATATGTATGTTTGTGTATTTCTGTGTTTATATGTGTGTGTATGTGTATATGTGTGTAGATGTATATGTATGTGTGTATGTGTATATTTCTATTTATATATGTATATGTATATTGCATATATGTGTGTTTATATGTGTGCATGTATGTGCATATGTATATGTGTGTAGGTGTATATGTATGTGTACATTTCTGTTTATATGTGTATATGTATATTGCATATATGTGTGTGCTTATGCATATGCATATATGTGTGTTTATATGTGTGTATGTATGTGTATATGTATATGTGTGTAGGTGTATATGTATGTGTGTATGTGTATATTTCTGTTGACATGTGTATATGTATATTGCATATGTGTGTGTGTTGTGTATATGCATATATGTGTGTTTATATGTGTGTATGTATGTGTATATGTATATGTGTATAGATGTATATGTATGTGTGTGTATGTGTATATTTCTGTTTATATGTGTATATGTATATTGCGTATATGTGTGTGCTTGTGTATATGCATATATGTGTGTATATGTGTATGTATGTGTATATGCATATGTGTGTAGGTGTATATATAGGTGTGTATATTTCTGTGAGCTTGCATATATATATATATTAACGTATTTGTATATGTATATATGGTTTATTTTGGGGGGTTTTAAAGTCCGTTCTGCTGTTTTGTGTGTGTATGTGTGTTTTTAGGGATGATGGTCACTCGTTGGCCTGATAGGTGTATTTGTGTCCAAATTTGGTGTCAATTCACCCAGTGGTTTTTGAGTTATGATAATCCCACAAACGAACATGACATTTTTATTTATATAGATATGGCTGGCCTCCCACGTACGTTCAGAGTCCTCGCTCTTGAAGTATCCAATAAGTTTGGGCTCCTCGTCAATGTTCTCAAAGGCCTGGAGTTCGTGATCGCCCTCAATGAACTCAATGGGATCCTCCATAACCTGCAAGGAAAGACCAAGAGCATGAGTCTTTCCTCTCCATCCCTCGCTTCCTCTCTGGTGGAGCTTGGGAAAGTATGCTATTACGAACCGCAGCTCCCACTGGCAAGATCTAGTCTGCAAGATCCAGCTGAGCCAGCTTCCAAGGGTAGCCCTATGTGGAGCACATTCGAGTAGTCTAGTCGGCACCAAAACATGGCAAATTTCTTTCTAATTGCACTAGACTTCTCACTTAGGGGATTGGAGAGTCTCCCAACTTGAGATCCAGGGAGCGTTGGACCCAAAATCATTTCCCAAAGATTATGACAAGACTCAATCATTCCAAGAAAGTGTGAGAGCAGGCACCTTGACTGTTTTAATGTGTGCATGGTTGTATGTTTTACATTGTATGCTAATGCTTTTATGTTAAGCCGCTTTGAGTGTCCTTCGGGAGAGATAAAGTGGAGTATAAATAGGAGGAGGAGGAGAGGAGGAAGAGGACGAGGAAGAGAAGAAGAAGAAGAGGAAGAGGAGGAGGGGAGGAGGAGGAGGAAGAAAAGAAGAAGAAAAACAGGAGGAGGAGGAGAAGAGGAGGAGGAGAAGGAGGAGGAGAGGAGGAGGAGGAGAAGAGGAGGAGTAGGAGGAGAGGAAGAAGAAGAAGAGGAGGAGGAAGAAGAAGAGGAGTGGAGGAGGAGGAGAAGAAGAAGAGGAGCAGGAGGAGGAGAAGAAGGAAAAGAGGAGGAGGAGGAGGAGAAGAAGAAGAGGAGAAGGAGGAGGAGGAGAAGAGGAGGAGGAGGAGGAGAAGAAGAAAAAGAGGAGGAGGAGGAGGAAGAGAAGAAGAAGAAGAGGAGAGGAAGAAGAAGAAGAGGAAGAAGAAGGAGGAGGGGAGGAGTAGGAGGAGAAGAAGAAGAAGAGGAGGAGGAGGAAAAGAAAAAGAAGAGGAGGAGGAGGAGAGGAGGAGGAAGAGGAGGAGGAGGAGGAAGAGAAGAAGAAGAGGAGGAGGAGGAGAGGAAGAAGAAGAAGAGGAAGAAGAAGAAGAAGGGGAGTAGGAGGGGAGGAGTAGAGGAAGAAGAAGAAGAGGAGGAGGAGAAGAAGAGGAGGAGGAGGAAGAGGAATAATAATAATAATAATAATAATAATAATAATAATAATACTAATACAGGGAGGTACTTGGGGTCTAACATAGGTCTGGTTTGTGTCTCCAGTTGGAGCCATGGTAGCACATCGGGTTAAACTGCCAATTGCAAAAAAATCTTGCCGACCGGAAGGTTGGCAGTTCAAACCGCAGGTTTGGGTGAGCTCCAGCCATTAGCCCTAGCTCCTGCCTATCTAGCAGTTGGAAATTAATAATGTGAGTAGATCAATAGGTACCACTTTGGCGGAGATGTAAAAGGCGCCGATGCAGACATGTCAGCAACTCGATCAGGAAGGCATTCATGGACTACAGACTCTTTCGTATGAAAAATGGAACAAGAGCACTTCCCCATGGCTGGAGTCAAGCACAACCTCCAGATGCCGGAGTATAGTGGTTCAGACAGATGAGGATGAAGGGGTTGGGATTACAGAGCAGTGGATGGTTCTTTCACTGAGGGAAATGAGGGTATTTTGGATCAAGATTCTGTCTGTGAGGCTGAGCTTGAAAGTGGAACTGTTTCCACAAGGAGATACAGTGAATGGTGGAGATAACTTTTCACCTACAAGAGCTTAGCAACTCTTGATAAAGGCCTGGAAGGCTGACATAACTCGCCTGAGACAACAGGTATTTTCGACAGGCTTGATCTTAGGGAGAAAAACATTAAGCTCAGGAAATCCAGGAGGTTCAGTGAGAAAGAAGTGCAGAGAAAGTTTCACAAGCTAGAAAGTCAAGGTTGAAAAATGCCTTCATGTTTTGCAGCCCTTACATTAGAATGTCTCTTTGAGAATTCAGATCAGGCAACACTGCATAATAGTAAGGATCTCAAGTCCTGTTTCCAGTTCATGTTTTAGTCTAAATTCTTGGGAATTTTTGAATGCGATTTTCCTTCTTCTTGCCAGAATGGGGTTGGACTGGATGACCCATGAGGTCTCTTCCAACTCTATGTTTGTATGATTCTACAGGTGGGGAAGCACTGAAGTGCAAAGTGAACTCCACTTTCTGAAGATCTTGCCCAAACAACTTGGGACAGGACCTTGTTAAACAGGAGAGATCTCACCCCATAAGTGATGGTCTTTTGCCCACTTAACGTAGCTATAGGAGGTGGAGACAAGCAAGGGGAAGGAGAATGGACTTGAGGGCAAAGATCACTCACATCCAGGAGGAACTCCACCAAAGTGTCGGCCGAAAACTCCCCATCGTACTCAATGATTTCATCATCCTTGAAGACGTAGATGCTGTCTTCCTCCGCCAGACCTGCAGGTGGGAAGCAGAGAGAAGAAGGTGTCTCTCAGTGGATAAGGAGATCTTCAATACTGCCTGGATGGTGAACACCTACAATCAAAGAGCATTCTGAACTCCACCAGTGATGGAATTGAACCAAACTTGGGACACAGAACTCCCATGACCAAGAGAAAATACTGGAACGGTTTGAAGGGCATAGACCTTGAGTTAGGGAGTTGTAGAACACTGTGGATTCAAACAATGATGGATCTGGATCAAACTTGGCACAAATACTCACTATGCCCAAATATGAACACAGATGAAGTTTGGGGGAAATACGCCTTGATTTCCCCCAGGGATTTATAGTTCACCTATAATCAAAAAGCATTCTGAATTCCACCAATGATGGAATTGAACCTAACTCATCACACAGAACTCCCATGACCAAGAGAAAATACTGGAACAGTTTGAAGGGCATAGACCTTGAGTTTTGGAATTGTAGTTCACCTACATCCAGAGAGCACTGTGGACTCAAACAATGATAGATCTGGACCAAACTTGGCACGAATACTCAACATGCCCGAATGTGAACACTGGTGTAGTTTGGGGAAAATAGAACTTGACATTTGGAAGTTGTTGCTGGGATTTCTAGTTCACCTATAATCAAAGAGCATTCTGAACTCCACCAATGATGGAATTGAACCAAACTTGGTACACAGAACTCCCATGACCAAGAGAAAATACTGGAAGGGTTTGGTGGGCATAGACCTTGAGTTTTGGAATTGTAGTTCATCTACACCCAGAGAGCACTGTGGAGTCAAACAATGATAGATCTGGACCAAACTTGGCACGGATACTCAACATGCCTGAATGTGAACACTTGTGGAGTTTGGGGGAAATAGACCTTGACATTTGGGAGTTGTAGTTGCTGGGATTTATAGTTCAATCAAAGAGCCCCTTTCAGATGGTCTTTGGCGACCCCCAAGTTGAGAAACACTGGTTTATAGGCTTTGGGACCTGCCCTCAAAGATCTAGAAACACAACAAGGGGGTTTATTATTGTCATGTATTTGGGGCAGAGTCCTGCATGTTTATGTTTCCTCTGCGAAGCACAAGGAAAGAGTCCTAAGAAGTAATAATTTTGTGGACTAAAGTCTTTCTGTGAGTTCCCACTGCCCTCTGGTGGTTCCTAACACTGAAAATCCACCCTCTTTTCTCTGTTAGTGGCTCACTTTGCTTCTTCATTGGCTGTTCTGGAAAGTGCAAAACAACCAGGGCTTATGAAGTTCCTTTTGAACGGTCATTGCACCATTTGAGAAATAATTCACTGCAATGTTCATGCGTTCCTATCCATTTGGAACTAATTTGCAAAAGTAACTTGCAAAAGTAACTACTACACATTGCACCAACAAAGTAACTTAGTTCTTATTAATTACTTTCAAATTCTAAAGGTCATTATGCTGTAATGGATTGAGTATTTGTGCTCAGCACCCAAGTGAAGGCTTTTATCTGGGGACAATTTCATCCCAGATTGTATGTGTTACCTCCACCACAGGCATCCCAGTGTTTCTGACTCTCTCCATTGGTGTGGAATTTGCAAGACCCCGCCCACTGCCTCTCCCATAACTCTTTCCTATTCTTTTCTATGGCACACAGCACACAGAGGAATTGATCAGCAATGGAACATACTATATACATTTGGGAAGAATGTATAGGCGTTGTAGGTACTGGGATGTATAGTTCACCTGCAGTCTAAGAACTGTACTCTGTACTCCACCAAAGATGGACCTGGATCTAACTTGGCACACAGAACGCCATGACCAGCGAAACATATTGGTGGACTTTGGAGGGATTTATAGGAGTTGTAGTTCACCTACATCCAGTGTGTACTATGAACCCAAACAATGATGAATCTGGACCAAACTTGGCATGCATGCCCAATATGCCCAATATGCCCAAATTTGAATATTGGTGGGTTGGGAAGGAAGTTGGTCTTGGCATTTTGGAGTTGTAGATACTGGGATTTGTAGTTCACCTGCAATCAATGAGCACTCTGAACTCCACCAAAGACGGAATTATTCCAAACTTGGCACACAGAGCCCCCATGATGAGCAAACAATACTGGAGGTCTTTGGGAAAAATTCACCTTCACTTGGGGGAGTTGTAGTTCACCTACATCCAGAGAGCACTGTGAACCCTAACACAGATTACTGGAGGGGTTTGGGGAGGAGAGGGGAATGGGGACTGACATTCATTTCTGGGAGTTGTAGTTCACCCACAACCAAGGAAACTCTGATCTCCACCAATGATGGACCAAACCTGGCACACAGAGCCCCCATGATGGGCAAAAAATACTGGAGGTCTTTGGGGAAAATTCACTTTCATTTAGAGGAGTTGTAGTTCATCAACATCCAGAGAGCACTGTGAGCCCTAACACAGATTACTGGAGGGTTTTGGGTGGGAGGGGGGAACGGGGACTGACATTCAATTCTGGGAGTTGTAGTTTACCCACAACCAAGGAAACTGTGCTCTCCACCAATGATGGACCAAACTTGGCACACAGAGCCCCCATGATCAGCAAAAAATACTGGAGGTCTTTAAGGAAAATTCACCTTGATTTGGGGGAGTTGTAGTTCACCTACAACCATAGAACACTGTGAACCCAAACACCAATCTGGATCAAACTACTCACACATACCTGATATGCTGAAATTTGATTACTGGAGGGGTTTGAGGGGAACTGACCTTCCTTTCTGGGAGTTGTAGTTCACCCACAAGCAGGGAAACTGTGACCTCCACTGATGATGGACCTGGACCAAACTTGGCATACAGAACCCCTATGACTAACTCAACCTACTGGAAGGTTTGCGGGGACTGACTCACCATAGTGGGAGTTGTAGTTTACCCTACAGCCAGAGAGCACACTGAAAATCTCAGATGATACGTCTAGAGGAAACTTGCCCAAACATAACAAACTTGAAGTACTGATGGAGTTTCTGGGGGGTTAACCTGGCATGGTGGGAGTTGTAGCTCACCCACAACCTTATGCATTTTGGGCAATTAAAAGTTGGCTTTTCCAAATAGCCTGGGCAATGCTGGATACCCAAAATATTAAAGGTTAAGGTACATAACCTTTACCTAAACTCTTTCCCTGTTGCAGTACGGCTTTTGCCGTGATGTCCAATTTGCAGAGGCACTCACCTAGTTTCTTGGCCACTGCGGCATCCTTTTCCGAGTCCACCAGGCCGAACCCGATCCCTTTATCTTCCAGGACTTGGGCGGCTAACTAGGAGAAAGAGTCCAGACGGGGCAGACAGACAGACAAGGAGGCAAAAAGGGAAGACAAAGAGAAACAGAAAGAGAGAGAGAGAAAAGGGGGAATGAAAAAGTTTTGGAGAGAGAAATCAGGTACGCAACCAAAGTAAGCAATAGTGCAAACCCTGAGTCTAAATATCCTCAATCATTTTGCAATAATACACACTGGAATACTTTGTTTGTTTTAGGGTGGTAGGAATGAACATAGGAAGATTACAATAACTTTTTTGGAGGGGTGAGGGAGATATTATTATTATTATTATTATTATTATTATTATTATTATTATTATTATTATTAGACATCCCCTACCATGCGTTGCTGTGGCCCACATGGGGGTTCTGTGTCGGAGGTTTGGCCCAATTCTATCGTTGGTGGTGTTCGGAAAGCTCTTTGTAGGTGAACTATACATCCCCTGTGATTGTAGGTGAACTATACATCCCAGCAACTACCACTCCCAAATGTCAAGATTCTATTTTCCCCAAACTACACCAGTGTTCACATTTGGGCATATTGAGCATTCGTGTAGAGTTTGGTCCAGATCCATCATTGTCTGAGTCCACAGTGATCTCTGGATGTAGGTGAACTACAACTCCAAAACCAAAGGACACTGGCCACCAAACCCTTCCAGTACTTTCTGTTGGTCATGGGAGAACTGTGTGCCAAGTTTGGTTCACTTCCATCGTTGCTGGGGTTCAGAATGTTCTTTGATTGTAGGTGAACTATACATCCCAGCAACTACTACTCCCAAATGTCAAGATTCTATTTTCCCCAAACTCCACCAGTGTTCACATTGGGCATATTGAGTATTCGTGTAGAGTTTGGTCCAGATCCATCATTGTTTGAGTCCACAGTGATCTCTAGATGTAGGTGAACTACAACTCCAAAACCAAAGGACACTGCCCACCAAACCCTTCCAGTGTTTTCTGTTGGTCATGGGAGTCCTGTGTGCCAAGTTTGGTTCACTTCCATCATTGGTGGGGTTCAGAATGTTCTTTGATTGTAGGTGAACTATAAATCCCAGCAACTACAACTCCCAAATGACAAAATCAATTTATTTTGAGTGGAGAACATACATTGGGTTGTTAGGTGTATCGTGTCCAAATTTGGTGCCAATTGCCCCCAGTGGTTTTTGAGTTCTGTGAATACCACAAACAAACGTTACATTTTTATTTATATAGATGATGATGATGATGATGATGATGATGATGATGATGCAAATATGAGTAGATAAATAGATATCGTCAAAGGCTTTCATGGCCGGAATCACTGGGTTGTTGTAGGTTTTTTTCAGGCTATATGGCCATGTTCTAGAGGCATTCTCTCCTGATGTTTCACCTGCATCTATGGCAAGCATCCTCTGAGGATGCTTGCCATAGATGCAGGTGAAACATCAGGAGAGAATGCCTCTAGAACATGGCCATATAAATAGATATCACTGGCAGGAAATGCATAAGACGCTCCAAGCAGTCATGCAACCAGGAGGTGACAATGCAGGCACCTCAGCTTGGAAATGGAGAACAGTACCTCCCCCAGACCCAGAAATGAGCAGCACCCCCAAAGCCGGAAATGAATGGAGAAGCCTTTGCCTTTGTTTGTGTTTGTGTGTCTCATTGTATTGTAACACGGCATTGAATGTTTGCCAGTATCTGTAATCTCTGAGCCCTATGGGGAGGGCAGAATATAAATAGTAGTAGTAATAGTTGTTGTTGTTGCTGTTATTATTATTATTATTATTATTATTATTATTATTATTATTATTAGAAACACAACAAGATGAGTCCACAGCAAACAAGATCACTCTGCTGGCTGTTGCATTGGATTACACATCGGACACTTCCCAAGTGTCTAGAACTGTGTGATGTATTTATTATTATTATTATTATTATTATTATTATTATTATTATTATTATTATTAGAAACACAACAAGATGAGTCCACAGCAGACACTCTGCTGGCTGTTGAATTGGATCACACATCGGACACTTCCCAAGTGTCTAGAACTGTGTGATGTAATTATTATTATTATTATTATTATTATTATTATTATTATTATTATTATTATTACTGTTGGCTGTTGAATTAGATCACACATCGGACACTTCCCAAGTGTCTAGGACTGTGTGATGTATTGACAAATAATGCTTGCAGATCCCAGTAAGCTGGCAGATGGTAATCTTATCAGCGCCAATTGCGTTTAAGTGCAGGCCAAGGTCTTTAGGCACTGCACCCAGTGTGCCAATCACCACTGGGACCACCTTGACTAGCTTGTGCCAGAGTCTTTGCAGTTCGATCTTTAAATCCTCATATCGTGTCAGGTTTTCCAGTTGTTTCTCTTCAATCCTGCTGTCACCTGGGATTGCGACATCGACGATCCATACTTCTAATCACCTCTCAACAAAAGATTGCTCCAGGCACTTCCAGGCTATCAAATACTAATCAAGGTGGTCAGTTGAAACATTCACACCTAGCTCCAGCAGACAAGAGTCCTTTGTCCCACCCTGGTCATTCCACAGATATATAAACCCATTTTCCTAGTTCCATCAGACCTCACTACCTCTGAGGATGCTTGCCATAGATGCAGGCGAAACGTCAGGAGAGAATGCCTCTAGAACATGGCCATATAGCTCGAAAAAACCTACAACAACCCAGTGATTCTGGCCATGAAAGCCTTCAACAATACAGATCCATACTTTGTTTTTTAACACGATCGTGAGGTCAGGAGTATTATGCAAGGCACAAGAGCGTTTATGGTGGGTATTTGGCAAAGTCGAATGGAATTGGGTTGTTGTGAGTTTTCCAGGTTGTATGGCAATGTTCCAGAAGCATTCTCTCCTGATGTTTTGCCTACATCTATGACAGGCATCCTCAGAGGTGAGCCCCTGGTGGCGCAGTGGGTTAAACCCCTGTGCCGGCAGGACTGGTCGCAGGTTCGAATCCGGGGAGAGGCGAATGAGCTCCCTTTATCAGCTCCAGCTCCACATGCAGGGACATGAGAGAAGCCTCCCACAAGGATGATTAAAACATCAAATAATCCAGGTGTCCCCTGGGCAACGTCCTTGCAGACGGCCAATTCTCTCACACCAGAAGTGACTTGCAGTTTCTCAAGTCATTCCTGACATGACAAAAAAAAAAATCCATAGAGGTTGCAGGTTTTGTTGAAAAGTAGACAAGCGGGATTTGTATATCTGTCGAATAATGTCCAGGGTGGGAGAAAAAAACCTCTTGTTTGCTTGAAGCAAGTGTGAATGTTGCAATTGACCACCTTGGTTAGCACTGAATGGCCATGCAGCTTCAAAGCCTGGATGCTTCCTGCCTGGGGAATCCTTTGTTGGGAGGTGTTAGCTGGCCCTGAGGTTTATATATCTGTGGAATGTCCAGGGTGGGAAAGAACTCTTGACTACTTTTTCAAAACATACATTTGGGGAAAAGGTGCATTTGATATTTTGGCCTCTCTTCAGAGCCTGATTGTTGAAGTTTCGGCACCTGTTTCAAGGAGATATTTCCTTTCGCACACTGTCCAAGATCAGATATCAAATGGAGAGAGCAGCCTGTCATCTGCCGGGGCTTGAAAAAGTCACGGTGTACTACATTTCATGGGAAGCTAGGTACCAAAGGCACCCTGCAAGGACAGATTTCATATCTGGCAGGATTATCATAGATTCATAGAGTTGGAAGAGACCTCATGTCCCATCCAGTCCAACCCCCTGCCAAGGAGCATGAAAATTGCATTCAAAGCACCCCCGACAGATGGCCAACCAGCCTCTGTTTCAAAGCCCCCAAAGAAGGAGCCTCCACCACACTCCAGGGCAGAGAGTTCCACTGCTCAACAGCTCTCACAATCAGGAAGCTCTTCCTCATGTTCAGATTGAATCTCCTTTCTTGTAGTTGGAAGCCATTGTTCCGTGTCCTAGTCTCCAGGAAAGCTGAAAACATGACAGCTCCCTCCTCCTCCCTGTGACTTCCTCTTACATATTTATATATGGCTATCATGTCTCCTCTCAGCCTTCCCTTGTTTGGGCTAAACATACCCAGCTCTTTAAGCCGCTCCTCATAGGGCTTATTCTCATTTTAGTCGCCCCCTTCTGGCCATTGTTCCATGTCCTAGTCTCCAGAGCAGCAGAAAACAAGCTTGCTCCCTCCTCCCTATGACTTCCTCTCACGTATTTATACATGGCTATCATATCTCCTTTCAGCCTTCTCTTCTTCAGGCTAAACATGCCCAGCTCTTTAAGCCGCTCCTCATAGGGCTTGTTCTCCAGACCCTTGATCATTTTAGTTGCCCTCCTCCTCTCACATATTTCTACATGGGTATCATGTCTCCTCTCATCCTTCTCTTCTTCGGGCTAAACATGCCCAGCTCTTTAAGCCGCTCCTCATAGGGCTTGTTCTCCAGACCCTTGTCTTTTTAGTTGCCCTCCTCCTCTCACATATTTATACATGGCTATCATGTCTCCTCTCATCCTTCTCTTCTTCGGGCTAAACATGCCCAGCTCTTTAAGCCGCTCCTCATAGGGCTTGTTCTCCAGACTCTTGTCCTTTTAGTCGCCCTCCTCTGGACACATTCCAACTTGTCAACTCTTAAGTATTTATACATGGCTATCATGTCTCCTCTCATCCTTCTCTTCTTCAGGCTAAACATGCCCAGCTCCTTAAGCCGCTCCTCATAGGGCTTGTTCTCCAGACCCTTGATCATTTTAGTCTCCCTCCTCTGGACACATTCCAGCTTGTCAATATCTCTCTTGAATTGTGGTGCCCAGAATTGGACACAATATTCCAGGTGTGGTCTAACCAAGCAGAATAGAGCATGGGGAGCATGACTTCGGATCTAGACACTATAGAGGCCAAAATCCCTTTGGCTTTTTTTTGCCGCCACATCACATTGTTGGCTCAAGATCTTTTTCACACGTACTGCTCTCGAGCCAGGCATTGTCCCCCATTCTGTATCTTTGCATTTCGTTTTTCCTGCCAAA